CTTAACACACACGGAACTCACAACGCTTCGTTAAACATCGGTTAACGTCGGCTAAATTCGATGATAACCTCGAAATACGCGCGTACTGTTAAACACAGAATCACTAGTAGCAAGGTGGGTACATATGTTTTCGAATACGAACGCGCGCGCCCGTACGGCCGTCTAGTGATTTTTCTAGTGTTGTTGTTGCCTGCCAGCCGGAACTCTCGGCTCGAGAGTTACGCGCGCTCGCTCGGCCGTTAACGCTCTTCGAATACGATTCTCTCTCGATCTGGCCTGCAGGCTCGCCTGCAATTACGTAACTGACACGTTTCCCGTCGATGCAAGTTAAATTCATACGTACCCGCCTCTCTTTCTCAGACACCTGTCATCGTCACCCAATCGTCACCAACTAGCAACTAACTAGCGTAAAGTGAGAAAAGAAACGTTCGACTCGATTTACAATCGGCCGCATGTTTCTCCCTTTTTCCTTTCTTCTTTCTCCTTTCGTTCAGTCCGTTCCAAGCGATGTTTTACCGATCGGTAAACCTCGCAACAGTGACATAATTCGCAATTAGCCGATGCGCGATTGGTCCCGTGTATCGTGCACGATACGTCCAAGCGCCCAGTTTTTCTTCCCACCGCGCTAGGGAATATTAATTCTCCTTTTGCAGTGCTCGTCGATGTAGTTTCCGCTTTACGAATCATTTGATCGACGCTCAGATTTCTTTCGTCAATTCGCATCTTTCTTGGCTAGTGAGATTAATTAATTGATCGATTCGAAGCGAGAAAAAAGAGGGGATTTTTAACAATCTTCAACGTTAAACTTTCCAATGGTAAATTGTAAATTGTAAATTACCATTTATTGGCATTCGGCCAAATACAGAGTAAAAATTTCTATTCAAGATTACAATTTACATGATGTAAATTTATTGTTCTTTCGTTAATTTCGTTATTTACAGTTTTTTTATTTCAAATTGGTCATTTGAAGAGATCGATAAAAAAATTAAAAAGAGAGAGAGACTAAAAATAAAAGAGGAAAATAGAAAAATTAATTTCACATTGATATAAATCGATCATTTTTTTTTACGTTATCGTTAAATTATCGAAATGCGAATTTCATCTCTGTCAATAGTAGTCGAACAACAATGTATCAGGTACTCGACCAAAGGCAGTCGGTTCGTTTTAAAGACAAGGTTCGAACAAACGAAGTATACACGAATTACAATTCGTGTGCAGTGACCTGTGCTCCATTTAAAAGAGAGCCTTTGTCGATACAACCATCAAGCAGCACTCTCAGATCCATCATTGTACCTTTTCTTTGTACGCTCGGCGCGCAATTTTTCAAAGCTTATTCCTCACTCTGTATATATATATATATATATATATATATGTGTGTGTGTGTGTGTGTGTGTATACACACGCATACCGAACCCTTTTGTTCACTTTCTCTATATTTCTTCTACATAGGCGAATAATTAACGTCAACGACGCTGGCTTCTTCTTCGGGCTGGTGGCACGTAAACGGGCGGAGAACGTCGATTTTCCACGATCGAGGGGAAGATCGTTCGGCTCGCGTTGTCAACGCGATCGATCGCCCGTAATTTCCATATGGTTTCCCTTTGAACTCCAAGAGATGGGAGAAACTGCGAGGACACGATCTATCGTCGAGATAACCATTATTTCCACTTTTATAGACGGAGGAATTGAAACGTTGTTACATTACACGAATTGAAATATATACGTGGGTATATATCTACCTGTGTGTGGCTGTATCTACGTTTGCCACATACACACACGTACATGTATGTATATCGGCGGCATCGATACATATACCGCATTTCATTTCATCGATCTTTCGGTAACGTAAATATTTATGTACGCACGTAAATATACACAGGCACGCACATGTACTGATAAACTCTCTATATTTTTAATAAGGGATATCAATAACGTATTGCGTTTCCCCTCCCCCTTTCCCACCCCCTCCCCTCTTTTGTGCCGTTTCAACCAGGTCAGAAACTAAATTACGGCCACGTCACAGAGAAACATTTGGACGCAGCACTGTTCTTGATTATTTCG